AATGATGAAATTATAAAGTTTTAACATGTTTCCAAAGTTTGTTCCTTAAAAAAGTACATCACAAGGCTCTGCTGATAAAGAAGATGGGAATTACGCGGATTTAAAAGTTTATAGAAGCCGATTCGTTGATATATCGTCGCATCCGATATATAGATTTCTTTTTTTCGATATTGCAAACGGCAAAGTTTAGTCTTACAGCAATCATCGTAAGTAACACGATACTGTCTACTATAAACTCTGTGAAATTTTCGATAATTTGTACCGTTTGCTTTTCACATTTTTTTTCACGGTACTCGCAGACCTCGGATAGTATGATTTTTTCGACTATTTACGACTATTTTCAAAAGTGGACTTTTTTCGACTCATTTTTAAAAAACAATACGACTTTTTGTTATTCAAACTATTTTGTTATATAATATTGCAACTTATTGATGTTTTGAATCAAGTACTTTAGGGTTTAATATAAAGAAAGACAATATGATTTTTTTAAAATTATGTATCTACATAAAATCCATAACTCCATGAGTCATTCATTTTATTTCACAAACGTGAGATTTGCTTTTAAAAAAATTCATTTGTGGCATCATGTATAATAATGAAGGTATTTATGGTCAATGCAGCTATTCTGACAAATATATAATAAACACATTTTAGAAAATGGTTTTCTGAATCTTCCGAATACCACCCGCATCACCCAATGTGGAAAATTGGAAAGTTTTTTCTCGTGAAACACCTTTATACGAGTTGACAACTCTGTTTCGACGATTCTGGAAACATCCTAAACTTTCACTTTTTTTTAGAAAAACGGAAAAATTAGGTGAACTGAATTTCTATAAACGACTATTTCCCCAGACAAACGAGCCATTAGTTTTATGTATCCTGAACAGTGACTGCACATATTATCTATCCTTAAGAATCAATTTCTAAAAGTTAAAATCGGTTAGTTCCTTTAAGTTACACACATAATAGACCGTTTCATTTTAATTCAAAGATCTTTGGAGTAAGTCATCACTCCTTAATTTTAGGCAACACGTTTGAAAGTTAATTTTAAATTGTATCATCTTTAAAACACTTTTTTTTTAATTATATAATCAAACGTTCTTAATTGTTCCTAATAGTAGCAGAGGTCAACACTTTCACTTTTAATTGTATTTCAATCAATTTGAATAATTTAAATTAATCGCTCATTTCAACAATTTCTTAATTTCTGATTAAGACTTATTGATAATCTAGTTGAGGCGCTCGATGCAATAAAGGAATAGAATATTTATAAAAGCAGAAAAATATTAAATCTTTTTTTATCCTTCTAATGATACAGGACGTAAAACAAATAATAGTTGTAGATTATTACTACCATTGAATGCATGCAGTTATATACCTATACGTGATGTAAAATTGTGTCATAAAGAAAGCCTTTCATTATTTAAAACTCTTTTGTAATATATGTTTTTAAAGGACAGCCTTTCCTTTTATTACCTTTTTCTTGAAAACATATATATATATTTTTTTTCGTATTCATTACATATACAGAAAGGATATATACTTTCGTCCGATAAAAAAAACTCTAAAAATAATAAAAAAAAAGTAACGTTCCATGATTTATACAAACGAACATGAAAGTTTTGTGGTATTGTCCTTGCTCCATATATTTCAATTATTAAAAGTGACAATTTTATGCAAGAACCATAAAAAGATCTAGGTAATCAAACGCTCGTTAACATAAATTATATATCATATAAAGTATATATTTGCATAAGCATTACAAGAAATTCTTTTTCTTTTTTTTCGCAGTCCCTTCTCTCGGTTACTTTGTGTGTGTTTTGTATTATCGGATGGGGTGCCTCATTCGCAAATGTGTTCTATATATTGTGCATTAGTATATATATATGCGCCTATAACCAACCCTGCGATATGTTGTTTGAATCTATGAGTAATGCTGCTTGGAATGGCGCATGCATATAGGTTTTACCATATGTCGAGGTGGGAATAAATTAACAGTGCTGGAAATGTCAACTGAGTAATCGCTAGATTCTAGTTCCACACGCCACGTGAACAATTAATTAAGCTTCAAAATAATGCCAGGCTACTGTTAAGACAAGAGGGTTCTTTTGGGGGACAATAACTTATAAAGTACATGTTTAAAAAAAATTTTTCATTCCCAGCATATACCTCATATAGCTTTGTAAAACACGTCTCTATTAGTCATTTAAAGTCTTTAGTTTCGTATATACTTTGAATGTAAATGGTTGTTTCATTTTAATTCCACATTTCCATATTATTCGACTCAATGTTATGTATGTGTGAAAATCAGATTTCTTTCTCATTTAGTTTCTATACGTAAAGTCACTAATTTGTTTAAGTTGACAGAATGTGACAGTTGGGTCACGTGATCATTGAAATATTTTATCCAACACTTTTTTAGTAAAATAACTTAAGTACACCAATTATTGTATTCATTTGTCGAAAATGTATTTCTCGATAAAATTTTTAATCTTATAAAAAATTGTCCTGTGAAAAGTGTGAAATTAGAAATGAAAAGTGTAATGCGAAAATGATGCGAATAAACGGAACACGAGAGACGAAGAAAGTAGGATATAGTTATGATATCGACTCCTGCAGTAGTAGCTATATAGACTAAATCTAGTTGTGCTACTATACGGCGAACTTCCACTACTAGGATTAGAGAGTTATGATAAATTTCTATAAGGGATTTGCCGTAGCAAAACTCTCCTCCATTGCAGGGAATACGTGCTAAAAATGGGATTGCTTATAAATTCACAGTCGCCACTGTTGAGAGAAGGGATCGCCAGCGAACAACACACCAAGAAACTTGGACCGTTTCAGTTATAAATAATAGCAGTTCGCCCTTTGCTTGCCGACCATAACCCCCAGGTCACGAAAGTAATAAGAATTTTGCGTCTCTATTCTACCGTGTAAAACGTTGAGTCGTATTTCGCCTCAAACTCTCCCTTTCTCTCACTCTCTCTCGTCTTTCCAAGCTAGCGGGAATAATTCTTCTGTTTCTCTTCTCTCAAAAAAAAGGTTTTTCGGCTATTACGTAAGATAAAGAAGATTATTTTACTTCATCGATTTTACTTGCCCTCAAAAAAAAAGCGTCTGCCACTTTCAATTCTCAATTTTTTGTTGTTGATTTTGAAACTGTTGCAAGTCACTTGGAAAATTGAGGAATGCAGCGATTCATTGTGGCTGTTTTTATGATATAAAGCAGCTGCACCGCACGATCAATTGTAATTCTTACCAAAAGAAAATATTAGAATATACTATATGTGCAAGAATGGTTTTTCAATAAATTGATGTTGACATATTTGAACTCAGAAAATGAATTGAAAAGAAATGTATGAAAACTTGTTAGAACATTTTCTCTTAAAAGTTTCAATTTTGCAGCATATGTGGAATATTTCTCAAAAAGTTTGTTTTAGATTAGGAAGAATAAAAATTTAATAAATTACTTAAACAAGGAAGGAGGGGACTAGATGTACAATATAAAAGAATACGCGTGAATTTATGAGGATCAATATTGACGAACAAATTAATGTTTCGAGTTTTGTAAAAACATTCAATTGTAAGAGAAAATTTATTTGACAAAATCCATTCACTGAGAGAAAAATATTTGTACTGGGTAACGTTTGATTGTATCTGTGGCTATCTTTAGTGTTACATATGTATACATTTAGATTTTAATGGTCAATGGCTATTATCAAATGATTCTAGAAAGATTCCACAGTAAATAATCCTTAATGTTAAATCTGTTATATCTCATGAAAGCCAGCAAAAATTATTACGTTTTCTGAAGTCGCCAAAATTTTATTCTGAAATCTTAACGATTTAAAGTTGAAATAAATCAGTGATATAATAGTTTACATCATGTTTTTCAAATCGTCATCAAAATAATATTTGTCAATTATTACATAAAACCCATATAAACGTTGGAAAACAATAAGAGTTGGAGTCATTAACAACAATAATCCATTCACAAAAATCACAAAAAAGAATTTTTATAAATAAACAGAGCATTGTTTTTACACAAAACGTTAATAAATAAATAATTTAAACAAACAAATTAATTAATTAAACGGAGACAAACGAATAAAAGTTTGAACTTGTGTTAACATTCAATTTTTCAAGTGTTTTTTAAATTTCTTTAATAAAATTCATTCAAAATTGAAACTTTTTAAAATTGTCAAATTAAAACCTTTTATATTAGTTCATTTATTTATAAAAATTTTATTTGCAACTCTTTAAATTTAATTAATTTTGAAATATTTAAGAAAATTATTAATGTAAAATCCGTTAGTTCTCGAGTGATAAAAACACAATAAAAATAAAACATTAAATAACTATACATGAACATAACCTCTCTTTTTGTGAACTTAATAATTTTAATTTAATTCTATTTCTATAAATTTCTATTACATATAATAATTACATTTATTTAAATAAATGCCTCTTATTTTACTACCTAATTACTAGGTTAAATTTTTTTATTAAATTTTAATTAAAATTTAATTACATTTTTACTAGGTTAAATTTTTTTAAAAAAGCAAATAAAAACAAAAAGTTGTAATTTTTTGCAGACTAATATTTAAATAAACTTTATACAATTGAATTAAAAACAGAACAGTAAAGAAAAAGATTCTTTGTCAATTTCATTTTCTATAGAAAAAATCCATTCTGCGATAAGGTTACAAATGCTCGTCAGTCCTTTACGGTCTTGATAATTGATAGGAAATAAAAACATACACATACCTACCTTTAAAAGATGAAATAAAAATTCCCAGTTTCCATGAAATCAAAATATATTTCACAGAATTGTCCATTAATTAACTTTGATTAACTTTAAAAAAAATAATTGAAAGGTGACACTTTTTTATTGAAAATTGAAATGTGTGAAAAATACAATGAGACGCCATATACAAAGAAAAAGTATATAGATAGTTTGCGCATGTGAAACTTTTACAACACGTGAGGTTGAGTGTACAGGCAACGGCCACACCACGATGATAAAAACCAGTTCTCGTCCGATCACTGAAGTTAAGCATCTTTGGGCGCGGTTAGTACTTGGATGGGTGACCGCTTGGGAATACCGCGTGCTGTTGCCTTTTTTTTTAATTTAAATTTTTTATTTTGTGTTCCAAGTCAGTGTTATGCCGCTAAATTTCACTCTGTACACGGAAAAAAAAATCAGCCTAATAATGCATGGAGTCTATTGGTTCGATTTTTACATGAGCCCATTTTGCAAATATCACACAGGAGTTTACTAAAAATGCATGGCTTTTGTGACTTTTGCCACAGCACCATGCGAAAATAGGATGGATTCCAAGCTAATCACGCATGGTAGTGTGCGTGCAATATACACAACAGACGCTCATGTGTTTTTAGCCTAGTATTTTTTTCCGTGTAGACTTTTAACTGCATTAGGCTGTTTCACTACACCGAGATATTTCGAGTTCGAGTATGACGTCAGATAGCTGGAGGAAAAACAAACAGACGACGCAATGCAATTCTTATGGGAGAAAAAATTTGGAATTTTCTTTTCAATGTTTTGCAAATTTAATAGATTTGAAACATTTTCTATCTACATATATGTAATTGAAACGCATTCTGCAAAATAATTGTAGTGAAATTAACGTTTTACGCTTCACAGGAACTTGAAAATATGCTAAAATGTATGTTTTTAAGGTTAGGAACGTCTGTTTACCACTATTATTTCTATGTATAAAATAGTTGTATTCGCAAACGACTTGCGCGAACACCTTTACAACTAAGTGTGAACGGAAATTTTGATTTTTTCTACCGACGGTGAAGGAGGTTTGTACATTTCGTAAGTATTTATTTTTAAATTAATATTAACGATTCAATTTTCTAATAATTAATGAAAGAATCTCGCAAAATTAGGTTATTTTGCAAGTAAACTTTGAATTCATATTTTATTTATTATTTCTTGTCATTTAATCAAGGTTATGTTTACTTTCAACTAAATGCATAATGTCGTATTGAAGGAACGACAATCAAAATCCAACATTTATTTATGTGACTAGATTTTCGGGTAATAATCTTGTTTTCCCAAACGTTTTGAGAGCGTCTCGTGAGGTTTTATCGGATGGAATAAGCGAAATGTGCTCGCAAAATACGCACATAATTCAAAGTTGTCATAGTACCCTAAACGTTATCCGTTACACTATTTCCCGCAGTGTCATGGAATTGCAGTATATTTTCAAAAGTATATATATGGAGAAGGAAGGGAAGGGATTTAACAATCTCATATGGAACCGACTCCCCGGTGTTTTACCAACCCCATATGAAATACATTGGATTAAAGTCAATGCGTCAGCACTTTTCTCGATAGATGAACAGTCGCAATAAGCAAAGGGGTCTCAAACAATGTAATTTCCTAATGATTATGAAGAATAATGACCGAGTTGTTTCTTTCGAGTATAAGATCTTCTTTTCTGTTTATTTCTTGATATTAATCGCTCATAACCAACTGTGACTGGCATTTTCACAAAAATTATTCCTTCTCCTCCTTCTCCTCCTCCTCCTTTTTCTTCTGCTATATATTCTCCGAAAGGAAAACAAAAACATGTTTCATTTTCTCGCTTCAATTTTTTTTCCAGCTTTCACAAATATTCGATTACCTCGCCTATTGTTCATTCTTAAATTAAAAGTTCTTTTTTTACGAAATTAACATGTACACCGCGTGCATTTCAATTGAATGAAAGATTGCTTTTATTTCCATTGTTGGACTCATATATTCAACATTCCATTGTTTATATTTTATTAATTATTGATAAATTAGCATAATGGTTTGTATTCCGCTGGTACTTTGAAACAATTTGCAATCATTTTAATGCAATAGTATTTTTAAAAGTATAATAATTATTATGACATACTTAAAAATCTAAAATTAGAATTATATTTTCGCAATTTATATTTTTTTAAATATCAAGATTCGCGGTAGACAATCGCCATCAAGTGTAAAAAGTAAAAACCGCGAATATATATTCTCAAAATATCGACTGTTTATAGATAAAATCGAATAACTCGAGTAAACCTTAACCGATTTTCCCCATTTTTTTTTAATAAAGAATGATAACAGAAAGAATTATATTAAGTGTATTCAATATTTTTGATACTTTTATAGAATCTAAGCAAAGCAAACTAAAAATAGCGACTTTTTGACACTTAGACAAACGTTAAAGCCTAAACTCATAAACGGATTTTTTAAAATATTCTGGAATATTATTAATTTAGGTTAAAATCTCGATATATATTTCAGAAAATTTCAAACACATTTCTTAATTATTGAAATATTTTAATTTTTCTCCAAAAAATTGGATTTTTTGAAATGTATAGATAAACGTATAGAGACTAAACTATACTTGACGGATTTGTATTGTAAAATACTCTGGAATATATAATAATTAATTGGGTTAAAATCTCAATATATGTTACAGGAAATTTTAACATGTGCAATATTTAATTTTAACTTTGACACAAAATGATTTTTATATTTTATTAAGAAATAAGAAATCAAAATGATACAAAATTGAAGAAGATAAAAAAGTTTCAATTAAATGGCTCAGTGGATCAAGGCATATTAATATGTTATTTTTAGAGCGTTAGAGAATAAATATTGTAAAAATTTCTGTAAAGAATCATATTTTATATAAATTTTTATTTAAAATTTAATTGTATTTTTAATTATTACGTCAAAGGCCACAATATTTTTATACAGTTTATTATTTCATTTTATATTATACTTTACGTGTAAGACACTTTTAAGCAAAAATAATAACATTTAAAATTTTTAAGAATTATTTTTAACAATTTGGAAAAAACAATCATATATCTTCAACATTTTTTATAAAAATTCAACAAAAAATTAATTTCGTTTAAATTATACAAAAATTCTTTAAAAAAATTCAATTATTTTCAAAAAATTACTAAGTAGTGCAATATTTTTAAAAAAAACTGAGTTAATTTGAAATTTTTCTGATTTTATTTCCCTTAAAAAACAAATAATAATTTTTGAAATTTAACAAAATTATTAAAGTTTTAAAAAACTGAAAAAAATTTTTAATAAAATTCTTCACAAGAAATTCAATTATTTTCACAAATAAAGTTAAATTATTCAATTATTTCAAATCAAGTCAGTTATTTAAAATAAAATTTTCATAGTATTTATTATATATTGAAAAAATCAATTATTTAAAATGTTTATAAAATTCTTATGAAAAATTCAATTATTTTCAAAAATAACAAAATTTTTCACAGAAATTCACTTGTTTTTAAACATTTGAATAAAACTTTTCGCAATAATTCAATTATTTTCATAAATAACAATATTTATCACAAAAATATTGAATTATTTAGATAAATAATTCTTCGAAAGAATTTAATTATTAAAGATAAATAACAAAATTATTCCCGAAAATTCAATTATTTTGAGGCATTTTAATAAAATTCTTTGCAAAATTCAATTATTTTTATAAAGAACATTATTAAATACCACACAGACATTTAATTATTCTCAAAAATTTTAATTGTAAAATTTAATTATTTTTAAAAACTTTACGCAATTCAATGATTTTTAATATCTACTATATTTTCATAAAATTTCCAAACAGAATTCAATTATTTAAAAAAATTTGTTGTAAAAATCTTCGTAAGAATTCAATTCTTTTTATAAATAATACAAATTTCTCAGGAATTCAATTATTTAAATATTAGAATTTGCATAAAATTAGTCGAGAAAAATGAATTATTTAAAAATGTTTATAAAATTTTTCGATACCTACTTTTTTATTACTTTTTTTAGTTTAAAAGCTCCTTTTTGCTATTATTAAGATTACTATTAAAAATTAATTATTAAGTGCGAAGTCTGCAAGTTGTATTTTATTTTGATACCGAAAGTAATTTCTGTTTTGATCCGAAACTATGAAGTAGACTTTTGTTTCCATAAGAAAACCAAAAGTAATGGTAATTGAAATTTTTTATTAATGAATCAAAATAAAAAAAAGTTTGTAATTTTGTTTTGTTTTATAATATTGAAACAGAACTAAAATTCGATTTGCGGGAAGGTTCCTGTTTTGCAGACACTTTGGAGATTTAATTGTCTTGTACACTTTATATTGAAATAGAATTTTCTTCAACAACTCTTCTAATTAACTTCATATTGCACTTCTTTTCCAAATAGAATTGTTTTGCATTAATTTTTGAGTTAACATTTTATAAACAGTAGAAGGCGTCGAAATTATAGTACTTAAGTGTTAGTATAATCTTATAATCTGAAATCTAATCTACTAAAATCTGAATTTCTTTGTTTTCTCCGATAAAATGTTTCTTTGATAAAATGTTTCCGTCTTTATTCTTATGTTTTATGGTAATTTCTCTTTTCTTAATTCTTTTATTTATATCAATACTGTTTTGAATGAAACATATTAAGAATTGAATGACATTTGAAAAAGAATTTTAATATTGCTTCTCGAAGTGAAAGACTTTCATTTTCCAACAGTAGTTATGACATTTGAATTTCAAAAATTTCTCCAAATTGATTGATATTGTCAGTATAAAGTTTACCTAGTTCAAACACTGTAATTTGCATATTTGTATATTATATACATATATAAATATTATTCTACATTTCCCAAGGGAAAATTGTGTTTGGGAATCCAGTAGATTTGTCTGGGGGTTTTTTTTCTCATTCGATAGAAGAGGGTGGTTTAAGGAATATATTAGAAAAACTGTGCTAGCGAGCGAGGGCGGACAAGGTTCTTATTCGTATATTTTTCGGGGGAATTTTAAGGAAAAGTGTCTGCATTTGGAGAGTTTGTACTCACTCCACTCTCACTCTCTTTCTCTCTCTCTTGGGAAATGGAAACAGAGAGCTGTGTGTACAAAAGAGCTGTAACTTTTCTTACTTGAAAACACACACACATAGAGGGAAAATAAATTACCTTGTGGCTATTTCAAAAGAAACATTTTGGATAAACGTTTAACCCTGTTTGGACAAAATCTGTTATAAAAGATTTTTCAAATATCGCGTATATGCACGCTTGAAAAGATGTGGTTTCTTGGTGAATGGAAATTTAGGAAATAA